GTTCGGCTCATCAGTGTGTTTTTAGTTGTTGCTGGACGACATCGACGCTCTAGGGAGAGCTCCAGATATGTCAGGATTAGAATGTATTTGGTGTTTTAGTGGAAAAATATAAAATATCCCTAACCTTGTCCTTTAAAGCAGCACTGCATCTATCTATATATATAGTGTCTGCCTCCTCTGTCTGTCACCGATGGGTTCATCTTTCACCATGTTTTCATCACGTCGGTCTCGCGCCGTCTCATGTATTCATTTATCAGGCCGTCTTTCTTCCTGATGTATTCGCGGAAGCTCCTTCCTGCTGGATAATCGCTCCGACGGTTCGCCGATCCTCGGCCTCGCTCTGTGCATTACTCGAGCCGTCTCAGCGTGCCAGAACCACAAAGGCTGCAATTTAGGACGTGTAATGCATCTGAGCCGCAGCTTCAACTGTCATGTCAACGACGCTGCAAATTCATGCGGTGCTCCTCGTGTGACAGTCACAGGCCTTCTGTGGAATCTTTAGGTCGTAATGCTCCGTCACATGTTTGGAATCGGTTACACAGTGAATATTAAACTGAGGCTTGACTTTAAAAAATGATAAGCCAAAATATCTCTCATTTAAATGTTTATGTATACATTCATCCCCTCAAAATAAACAGAAATAAGCATTTGCAACCTTCATTCTGCAGATATATGTACGTATGTTCACTTATTTATTTCTGTGTGTGTTTTTTGCGGATTGTGTTTGCATACTCGTGGTCACATTAGGATGATTCACGTTTCGCCTCAGGCCACCATTAAGCTGATGTTTCCCTTAAACCAACAAACAAGTTTGAATAAACTCCTGCGGCTGAATTATTTATGTTGACATCCTATAAGTTGTTCCACTTGATTTTGCAGAATAAAAACGACTGAAGGCCTGTTTGTAAAATATAAAGAAGGGCTCCAAGGATAAAGTCTACATTTTAGATATTTAGTCAAGTTGGGATTCATCTCATTAATCTGTCAAAAATCTAACGGAGTTGCACTAAATGAAATTACGAAACCAGGAATGCAGCTGTGCTCCGTAAACCTTCCCCTACAGTCGCCCTCAGGCCAAAATGTCTGCTTTGTTCGCAGGATATCCCATAATCCAACTGGCTGATTACCTTGAAATGCACCGAGAACACTCCTGCCCCTGGGGATAAATACCTCTGACTGTCCTACTGTTGTAAACATAAAACCTGCTCTGTTGAGTCGAACTGCAGGCTGACTGAAGTGTTGTTTCCTTCCACCCTCCTGTCAGGCTTCCCACTGCGTCGCCCAACAACTGGAGCGAATGTCCTCACTACAGCACCGAGAGGCCAAACGAGTGCTTTTTCAACGAGAACCACACGTCCATCTGGACGACTTACAGTGTCCAGCTCCGCTCGAGGAATCAAGACATCCTCTATGATGAGAACCACTTCCATGTTCAAGATATTGGTGAGTTTCCTGACTCACTGCCCCCCTGTCAGGATTATATTTACGCATTAGCTTCCTCTCAAAACTTGACCAGGACATTCTTGTGAATCCCGATTCTGAATCCCACATCGCAGACTGCCACAAACCCCGACTCCTTGGCTAGAAATAACCTCTTATGAACAGTTTAGTGAATAAAGTAGTGCTCTACCCCAACTCACGGGTCAGCTTCTGCTCCACTGGTGCCAGGTTCTGTGACAAAAAGATATGCAAACCTGTACAATGGATGTCATGATTTTCAGCCATTTGCACTCTTTTAAAGCCTCATGGGAGCTGTGGTTGTTCTAGTGTCAATTTGTTGTTCGATTGGGCTGTTCGCTGCTTTGGTCCAGATAAATACCTCAACAACTACTGAAGCCCGCTGCCTTTAGTGGCCAACATGACTGTACCTGCAGTGCCATGACGGGGACGGTGTTGGTGCCTCTGAGGAGAATATCCTAAAAACTATTGGATGGATTGCTGTGAAATGTTCTCTGGATATTTAAGGTCTCTCGAGGAGCAACTTTGGTGACTTCTTGTGTAACCAGTAATTCAAAGTTTTAACGTATTTAGTGAAATCTCGCAACTATCGACGATATAGAAAGGTAGAAGACGAACCCAAGTGTTTTCTAAAGAGCAGTTTTGAAGCTCGTTGTGGTATCTATCGCCATCTTGGCAGCTTCAGACTCCTCCGAAGTCTGAGCTAATCCAAAAATCAGCAAAGAGGTGGTTCCTGAGATGAAACCCACCTGTCACCGTTTAATAATGCATAACTTAAAGCCATAATAGTTGTTAAATGGGTGAGTTATATATAAAAAAATAACCAGTAGTTCAGTGGTCATGAACGAGGAAATCAGCCATGAAGACTAATAATGTTTGTTGTACCAGCTGTAAACATGATTTTTTTTCTGCTGTAAAGTTGCCATTTTTAACATTGAAGTCTATGGGAATTGACTCACTTTTGAAGACAGCCTCAAGTGGACATTTGAGGAACTGCAGCGTTGGCACTTTTGCATTGACTTCTTTTAGTTCTGCCTCAGAGTTTGCTGCTTGACCAAACCATTAAGTGGATTATAAGCAAAAAACATTCAAGTTTCCATTAATAACCTTTACATAAATATCTTGATTTGATTGATTCATTTTGCAGAGGCATTCGTGGTGCCTAGCGACTGAATATCTTCCACCCCCTGATCTTTCATTTAGAGCCACTATGATGTCACTAATGTCCTTTTGTCCAGTTTAGTCCAAGGCTGTTGTTCATGGTGATGTTTACAACAGCGTGCTTCCAACTTTGTGGGAACCGTTTAGGGAACACCCCTTTCCTGTTTCAACATGACAGTGAATGAACTGGAACGCTGACTGCGAGCCAAAGCTTATCGGCCGACATCAGCGGCTGGCTTCGCTGATTCTCCTCTGGCAGTCAGGTTGCAAAATGTTGTTTCAGAAAATACAGAAACCAAAAGAAAAACTGTCGATTAATAACCTTTGTTTTGCAATGGCGGTTTTTAGCAATCACAACAACTACTGGATGTGACCAGCATGACTATATCTCTAGTGCCATGTTGGAGCTGGTATTGGTGGTTCTGAGGAGAATATCCTAAAAACTATTGGATGGATTACCATGAAATGTTTCAGAAAGTACAGAAACCAAAAGAAAAACAGTGGATTGACAACCTTTGTCTTGCAATGACGTTTTTAGCAATCCCATATGGATGTAATGTTTGGGTGTTTCCTTGCTCTTTTGCCGGTGCCAGTGACCTTGACGAAAGGATTTGTTTTTTTTCAACTCAACAAATTAACCAATTCGTTCCATGAACCCACTTTAAAAAGATTTTCTGTTCTGCAGTGCAACCGGATCCTCCCGTGGGCCTGAACTGGACGCTGCTGAATGTGAGTTTGACTGGCAACTACTATGACGCAATGCTGAGCTGGAAGCCTCCACAGTCTGCAGACGTGGAGACGGGATGGATGCGGCTGCAGTACGAGATCCAGCACCGTGACATCAACTCTGCCCTGTGGAAAAAGGTAAGCGTGTCCATGAATCGTACATGGCTTTTTGTTTTTACTATTATAGAGGAGAAAGTGCTGTAGCTGCGTCAGGTGTTTGAACCTTATTTCTTTCCACCACAGTCTGACCTCGTGACAACCACATATAGCTCAGTTTTTGGCCTCCAAACTAACGTCAACCACGAGGTTCGGGTTCGGTGCAAAATGCTCGCCGGAAAGGAGTTCGGAGAGTTTAGCGACTCTGTGTTCGTCCACATTCCATCTAAAGGTAAACGCCTCAAACTTCCCTGTTTGGAGTATGATTTTATGACGCATTATATGAAATATATGTGGGATTATGTGCACTTTGTTTCCTCCAGTTTCAAGATTCCCAGTGGTGGCTCTGCTCATCTTCGGCGCCTTGTGTTTAGTGGCCATCCTGATGTTAGTCATCATATCGCAGCAAGAAAAGTACGTATTGTGCGGTTGTGAGCTCCCAGACCTTGAAAGACTGCTGTAGCGTCTGTGTTATGCAGGGCTGGTTGTGTCATGTCTGTACTGTTATACTGAGGTCTGACGTCAAGGTCCTTCTCTATTTACCTTCTTGTGTTATGCGACATTCACCATTCATCCTTCCTTTACTCCTCAAGGTTGATGGTGATGCTTTTGCCTCCTGTTCCTGGACCGAAAATAAAAGGAATTGACCCTGAGCTACTCAAGGTGCTGTTCATGTTACGACACTCAGCTAAGTTACTGGTGGCATTAAGTGGTGGCAACACTTCAAAGGGAGACTTTTTTGCACATTTAAAAAAGAAAAAGGGCTCAGGCTAGCTGGTGAACGTCTGTAGCCAGCTAAGCTTCCTATAAAACCAAGTGGTCCTTTAGCAAGCATTAGCTCCCTTAACTTACTTGCTAATGGGACAATAAATCCACATGGTTTATTCAAGAGACAGCATACAATGACTTGTGTCTCATACCTGTCTGTTCCAAACAAGTCTGGACAAAACCAGTCTAATCAGTTGTGTGTAGAGATGTTATCGCAATCCCAAGTCTCAGAAACCATCTTGGTATGTACACCGATATATTACTGATGGAAAGCGATTGTGAAAGCTTAACAACAACCCGGGTGTAATAAACTGGAACGATCCCTCTGGGCTCTTGAGCATCGCCTCTGTTTTCTTTCTCTCACAGAAAGGGAAGCTTCGGGAGTTGACGTCGATCCTGGGTGGTCCTCCTGACCTGAGGCCCGAGCTGTACAACAGCGACCCCTGGGTGGAATTCATCGACCTGGACATTGAGGAGCAGAACGACAGGCCGACGGACCTGGACACCGACTGCCTCATGGACCGCTCGCTGTCCTCCAACTGCTCCCCGCTCTCCATCGGCTTCAGAGACGACGACTCGGGTCGCGCCAGCTGCTGCGAACCAGATCTACCCAGCGACCCGGAGGCGTCGCCTTTCCATCCGCTCATCCCGAACCAAATCCTCAGTAAGGAACCGCCGTGCCCGACTGCCTCCGAGTCCAGCTCCCCGGTCCAGAGCACCGGGGAGCCTCTTGAGGCAGTAAAGGAAGCGTTGTACACCCAGGTGAGCGAGGTGAAGTCATCCGGCAAGGTGCTGCTGTCGCCTGAGGAACAACCTGAGGTGGACAAAAGCACAAGCAAAGACGCCATTGCGGAGAAGGAGAAAGAAAAGAAGGAGTTTCAGCTTCTGGTGCTGAACGCAGATAACAGAGACTACACCTCAGAGCTCAACGCAGGGAAAGTAAGCCCAAAATTATCCACAGGGGATCCGAGCGAACCCTGCCAGACGGGCGTGGAGCTAAAGGCCGCACCATCCAGCGAATCGGACACCATCCTGACGTCCCAGCTGCCCCCGGCTCCCGTCTACACCGTGGTAGAGGGTGTCGACAGGCAGAACAGCCTCTTGCTGACGCCGAGCTCGACACCAGCGCCGCAGCTGATAATCCCAAAGACCATGCCGACACCAGGCGGCTACCTGACCCCCGACCTATTGGGAAGCATCACACCGTAAATCAGCGGCGGTGCAAAAGTCAAAGACTGTTCGATTAAAGGCAGGACAGTCTCGGAGGTCAACCTTTTCAGGGATCCAACGCTGAATGTCAGCTCGCCTAGAATAGTTTGGCGGTGTCCTGCCACCACCTCTACCTCCTCTGACCTCCACTGCGTCCCCTGATGGGGCTGCAAAGTCGACACGGTTGGAAGTTTTGAATTGGATGATGAGTAGATGCACGAGAATGTGTTTTTTTCATCTAGTTGTGCAAAAAGGGAACCGATCAAAGGGAAAGCTGGAGCTGAAAACTGCCTCAATATTTGAATATTCAAAACACTTTTTGGCCACTACGGGTCAGAATAGCTCCCCAACTTCGCACTGATGAATTTAATCCTCATATTCATTCTCCTTTTGGCTCAAGTTTGGTCTCTACCAACTTAATATCTGGCTCTTTTATCTGCTAAATGTTCCCCTTTTCTTCACCAGCGAGTTGCCAGGAAGCTAAAAGAGGCCAAAAAACGTGTTCCCTGGTGGTTTTGTTGCTATAAGTGACACCTTTCGCATCACAGGTTGCCATTTTTGTCCAGTATTGATATAAAAATGCTGATTGAATGAGCTTAGTGTGTATTTAATTGTACATTTTGTACATATCAAATTATTTTTCGATGAAATCGGGCCATATGACAATTTATGAACTCAACTTTTTTAAGGCTTTTGATGGGTTTTTTTGTTTTTTTTTCTCCATTTTTAGGCTTTAAAATCACCATAGCCACACTGAAAATGTTACAGTAACCAATAAATAACTTTTCTTTCATGCTCAGCTTATGTCAACACAAAGAAAAGCAAAGCACGGTTGTATGTAAAAGGATCGGCTTCAGTATCTCACTCTGATGCTGCCACATATTGTGTTTTTTATGCTCTGAGAATACAACATGCTTTGAGCTGCCAGCAGTGTTCGTCTTATGCTCAGCCAGTATTAGTTTTTTTTTTTAAGTGCATTGATTGTTTAAGTTTTTTATTCTTCATTGATTTGTGGTTGGTTCATTTAATGCAAGTTAAAAGCTGGGGGTAGGTGGTTATCAGTGTTAAGCCTGTACAGTTATTGCATTTTAAATATTCCAAAGTATGGACAAATAAAAAACTTCAAGAATGTTGCATTTGTCTCTCAACTCATTATTTATTTATTCATTTGTTTTTTTAACCATCTGAACCCCAACGGCAGGTTTGAATGGGATGTTTTCTTTAAGTCATCAAAAAAATCACATCATTTATCATAACAAGAAAGCATAATAGCAAAACATGTTTTAAAAAAAATAAAATGCATTGATTCTACATGTCTTGTAAAAAAAAATAAATAAAAAATTAAACTATTTGAACCATCCATCCATCATCTATACACCGCTTAA